CCCCCCCCCCCCCCCCCCCCCCACCTGTCACTCACTCCCCTCCCATTCACCACTGATCGCAGTGATGACTTACTTCACATGGACGAGGTCTGCTGAGGCCTCATTGTGCACGTGTGTGAGTGTGTATGCTTGAATGTGTGTGTATGTGTGCACGTCTGAGTGTGCGAGTGTGTGTGTTTGTCCGTGTGTGCAGAACCGCGGTGGCACAGATGTGGTCTCCCTGTGGTGATGTCAGCACCTCTCAGCAAGGAGGCGACTCCCTACGCCGCTTTTCAGGAAAGGCATCAATTTGGCAGCGTGCAGAGCACAGGGGGGCGGGGGGAGGGGGGGGGGTTATGTAACCTGCAGCCATCTATTACTGGCAAAGGGCCTTTCAGTGGCTCCGCGTGGCCCAGATCGTACAGCCAACGGAAACCCTTCAGCGGAGACGGTCTCCATTAAGGGCCGCCACTGCCCACCAATTAGACCGGAAAAGCCAGTGGGGGGGGAGGCACTGTTTCTCGGGCACTCTCAGTCGCTCAGATACTCAGTTAATACATGACTGAGGGGGTCAGAGCAGCCTTACGGGGGGGGGGGGGCACAATTAAAATCCCCCGCACCTCCTGCACAGCCGTCCTGCAGAGGGAAGCCCACCAGAGACGCGGGGGCTGGCAAGGTTCCCCCTGCTCTGGAGCATCTGCTCAACGGAGGCGTGATCCGATTAGTGGTGTGCAGCTGCCCGCAAGCAAACTCGGCTGCACAGCATTTACTGCGACACTGCATCTGGGGCTGAGACCAGCTCCCTTGTTACTATGGTTTCCCCTGATCTGCGTCACTCAGTGGGGATTCAGATACAAAACACAAAGTTCAGAGGCCGGGCCTACAAAGGTACAGGTGCACGGTCTACAGGAGGACAGCGGCACAGTCTCCAAGGAAACAGAGGCCTGGACTACAAAGGTACAGGTGCACGGTCTACAGGAGGACAGCGGCACAGTCTCCAAAATAAAGCCACATGGTTTCCAAGGAAACAGAGGTATGGCTTCCATAGGCAGTGGTGGCTTAATGGTTAGGGACACGCACTTGTATTTGAAAGATTGCAGGTTCGAATCCCTGACCAGCAAGGCACCACTGAGGTACCCTGAGCAAGCTGCCCCCTGCTATGTCACATTTTCACATATGGGTTAAATGCAGAGAACACATTTCGTTGTTGTGCACTGTGAGCATCAACAATGACAATTAATCACTAAATTCTTAATTCTTAGTACAGAGCCATGGTCTCCAACGGCACAGCCACAAGGTCTCCAGGAGAACAGAGCCACAAGGTCTCCGGGGGAAAGCTAAAGAGGGTGGGATTGCAGAGACAGGTTTGCCGCCTCATCAAAAGCCAGATGGAAATCCCACCCCCTCAGGTTTATTCTGGGAGTGATATAGAAGCTTCAACAGCGTTAGGGGGCTACTACCCCTCCCCCCACCCACCCACCCACAGCCTCAACATAGCCTCATCAACACAGCCCATTCTCCCTGCGTTCGTAATTCTGGGCTGGGGAGCTGAAATCCCTTATATGTACCCCGCACACCCAGCCAGGCCTATCCTCCCCGTCAAGCTGCCAGGTCCCGACCATACAAACTGGGAAGCAGCCCTGGAAAATGCGCTTTTTCCTGCAGCCGCAGGCCCTGTTTTTTAATAACTGCAGATGGCTGCGAGTGATCAGCTCACACGGGACACAGACACGCTGAGCACTGCTGGAGGGGCGGCCGCCAAGCCAGAGCACAGCTGCAGGCAGACAGGAAGCGGCTGCATCTCTCCGCCGTCTTTGGGGAGGAAATAATAAACCGGAAGCCGACGGACGTTCCCAGAGACACGGCGACTGTGTCAGAGAAGACTGGGAGAGGACTGACCGGCGAGAGAGGCGGCCCCCGCGGACGCCCCCCTGTTCCTGGCCCCCAAGCACCCCTCAGGTGCTCCAAGCTGCATTCCGCACCGGCTGCCTCATGGTCCCGGGAAACCAGCACACCTGCCTCGCTGCCGGCGTCGTGCCGTCAAGGACAATAATTGTGTTTAGCGCCACCCACGCACCCTTCTGGATCTTTCCGCCCCAATCCCCCCCCCCCGGTCGCGGCAGAGCCAGCTCACACTACAGGGCGTGGGAGGGGTAACTCCGGGTCGGCCGCGACATTCCATAGGGCGGCATCTTACCCTCTTGTTAGCCACGTAGATGATGCGGACGTAGCAGCAGATCATCAGGAAAATCAGCGAGAAGAGTGGGATGTACCATCTGCAGGAACAGAGGGAAGGGAGACGGAACACCTTAATGTACGTCGGAGATGTCAAGGCCGCCCACAAGGGCCCACTAATCAGCACGTCTCACATGCATAAAATATCCAGTATGAGATGCAAGGGGTCATGGAGTGGGGGGGGGGGGGGGGGGGGGGGGGGGGGGG